AATGTTCTAGCAGTAAACATGTAGAAATCTACTGTTTGTTGTTTTGCATCCCATTTTCCTTTTTCCCAGTGTTAGTTCCAGTAAAGTTCCTATTTTTCCAAACACACAGGGACTCTGTCTCCCATTCATTGCTTTGCTGATTTAATCTCTGCTTTATATTTTTCTATGAATATCTATCAGAACCACATAGACTTAACCAGTGTTCCCTCTAAGGTGAGTTAGTGTGAGCTAGCTCACAGATTTTTAGCCTCCAGCTCACAGATTTTTGTCTTAGCTCAGGAAGGATGGCTCCAGAGCAAGCTAATTTATGCAGTATCCAAATCACTCGCTCACAACTTTAATGCCAACAGCTCACAAAGTAGAATAATTGCTCACAAGACTCCACAGCTTAGAGGGAACATTGGACTTAACCCAGTTCTAACTAGCATATTCTAGAAGACACACCCATTCATGTGAAGAGAGGGAGTAACACTTAGGCCCTAAGCCTGACTCTGAAAGAGACAGGTTCCATATACTACAACTCTAAGGCAGCAATGCTGAGTGTAGGGGAGCAGGGGGGAGGGGAGAAGTGCCACTGCTCGGCACCAATGTTCCCTCTAAGCTGAGTTAGGGTGAGCTAGCTCACAGTTTTTTAGCCTCCAGCTCACACATTTTTATCTTAACTCAGGAAGGATGGCTCCAGAGCAAACTAGTTTATGCAGTAGCCAAATTGCTTGCTCACAACTTTAATGCCAGCGGCTCACAAAGTAGAATTTTTGCTCACAAGACTCCACAGCTTAGAGGGAACATTACCAGACTCTGAGGCGCAGGGGCAGTGGAGCTGTGGGCAGCCCTCTGTGGCTGCCATCAATGAAGGCAGCCTGTTCCAACTGTTGCATTACAAGAGGCTGGTGCACGCCCCTGCAAGGGAGCCTGTGGCAACAGGACTGACTGGAGGTGAAGTCTCCTCTGCCCTTGTCTTTGTGCACTCCAGCAGTCCCTGCAGGGGCAGCCACAGCAGTTTTGCCCCTGTTTTTGCATGCCCACCCTGCCTGGTGGGGCTATTTCCTTCCTCTGTCACTGCCACCACTCACTGAATGGACACCACCTTCTTAGAGGGACAATGAGACCCCTCTGGCTGATTTCCCAACCCGGGAAAGTTGGTACCACAATCTTTGGGCGCCCCCTGGAGAGTTGGCAATCCCTACAATTTGGGCCCGTTTGGGTTCCCTAGCCTCCCTTTTGCTTCTGATAATGTGCCAAGCGGGGAGGACTAAGTGGTGAAGGCACACCAGGTCTTAAACTCAAAAAAGGTTTATTTGAACTATATACATATTAGGCACAGAACTTAAACACATGCACATCAACACAACGTGGGCACAGAAAATAAACAGGATTTAAAACGCCATTCCTCTGTCCCCTACACAGACCCTCTCTATCTCTGGAGGTTGTGGGCCTCAGGATAGGATTTACTTTCCCCCTCCTGTTGTTGTGGAGAAACCCCAGCCCTCCTCGGGACTGGTCACTTGTACTGTTACCCTCCTGGCTGTCCACCACGGTTTATAGTGGCCTGGATGCCCTGGAGTCTGTGGTAACAGGAGCCCCACCTGTGCGCTCCCTTGAAGCTGCCGTCCAAGCTGAGCCGAAGGCCAGACTAGGCTAAAACTGAACTCCCCCCTCAGGAGCCAAAGCCTTTATCTCCCTGGCTCCACTCCTGGGGTGTGTCCATATTTTCCCGCTCTTTTCCCTAAAGTTTCTGGGAACTGTAGGCAGGGAGGTATGGCAGCTCCATTGTTCCCTATGGAGTACCTCCCCCCTCCTAAGGACTACCATTTTAAAATACACTGCTGCCTCTGCCTGGCAGCCATTTCGTTACAGGGTCAGTGCAAGGCGACAGTCCAAGCCCAGGTCTACCAATGTAGTAGACTAGGACGGGTAGACCTGTTGTCCGGAGGCCAGGTCTACCTCCCACCCCGTGCTGGTGCGTTGTGAGTACCTGGCAACCCTACTTCAAGGGCAGCCCAATGTAGAGTGCATTGCAGTAATCTAATCGAGATGTCACTTGGGCATGTACTACAGTGGATGTATGAACAGGTCTCAAACTGTTTAACCCAGTACTGTCTATGCCACCCAGGAGTGGTCCTAGGCCTCAAAGTATTTCCTTGTGTTGCTAACAGAGATACTTCAAACAAACACCCCAAAAGACTGACCTGCTGCCAGAGATACTTTGAGCAAACATCTCAAAGACTGAACCACTACCTTTCAGCTTTGCCCCTTCCCCCTTTTAGCTGTGGCCCAAGTTAACACAAGGTAACTGCATTTTATGATGTGTACTCAGAGCTGTGTTGTACTTGTGGTATGATTTTGGAGAGAATGACTTATTGTAAATCACTCTTGAATCAGGCTTCCCAAGTACTTACCGTGATTCGGCGAGGGACACAGACGTCTTTGCAGGATCATTCCCGTGGGGACAACAGACGCGCCACACCATGCCGTTGCCAGGAAGTGATGCCGGGCGACGCTTTGGCAATGGGGCTGGAAACTCGATGGTACCATTGAGTTTTCAGACCCATTGCCAGAGTGTCGCCCGGCGTCGCTTCCTGGCCAGGGAGCATGTTTCCCCCGCCGGATCGCGGTAAGTAAATGGGAACCCTATCTTGAATTCATTTTGGGTGCAGTAAAGTGATACAAAACCCTGAAATCCAGAAATATTACAGGTGTTACATTTACCACAGCAAAACATAAGGTAGTCTAAATTTACTACAGATGAATTACAGATATTAGGAATATGAATGCAACGCATAATGGATTTTGAAAGCACTATTTTCACATTGAATCTTTCTCAGTACTTATTTAACCATCTAGTATTCTATATTTAGCGTAAGTCATCACCCCAGCTTTGTCTCCAGTCAGTGCCAGGAGCAGTCTGCAAATTCTCTCAGCTACTGTAGGGCATGAGCCATCAATGTCACTTGCTGGCATGCTCCTCAGGGCAACACCACAGGCTGTGCCTTCCTCTCCCTTCATCCCCCTCCAGGATTCTGTTCTTAATTAACACTTTGAGATATTCCGGCCCCCAACAGTCAACCCGCTGTAGTGATTAATGACAGCTACAATAACGCCACCCTAGTCTTCAGGGCACAAAGGTGAAGCAGGAGACAGAAACATGTCCAGATTTCAGATAAACAGCTGAGCGGCACATGATGGTCACTGAAGAGAAAGCAAGCTGGAGGCTATTTCAAGACATAAAGTATGTCTAGGAAATTTGAAATAACATTAGTATAAAGCAGCTCTTCAGGTGTAACAATGGCGTATCAACAAGCATAGCAAAACACCCTGGGGGAGAACAGCAGAATGAGAAACTAGCTAATGGTTAAGTAGTAAACTGGCAAACGCAGCAGAGCAGACTGAGAAATAAGACTGTGCTTTTAAATACAGTGACAAATCAGAAATTAGGAAGAAGAAAAAAAGAGGTGCAGGAAATGATAAAATGTGTCCTGAACACTTTAAGAAGTGGCAGTTCTTCTCACAGTATAATACACCGGAAGCTGTCTAATAACGAATCTGGCCTATCAAGGTCAGTCTTCTCTACTCTGACTGGCAGCACCTTTCCAGGGTTCCAGGTAGAGATCTTTTTATAATACCTGTGGTGAAACACTTTACACCTCAGAATTTATGCTGAAGTTATAATAACTGGGTTCATACTCTGTATATGCTGAGAGGGTGCTCCGGCGGGGAAGGCGGAAAATAATAATAATAATAATAATAATAATAATAATAATAATAATAATAATAATAATAACAACAACAACAACAACAACAACAACAACAACAACAACAACAGCCTTTTACCAAGCTATCAAGCGCTTAAGGGAAAAGCAGAGTGGGCATGACTAGTCTCCCAGAAGAAGACCCTTCCAGGGCAGAGATCTGGGAAGGCCATTTAGCACATGACCACCTTCTGCATCATTTACCTGGAGATACTGGGGACTGAATTTAGGAAATTCTGCTCTGCCTCTGAGCCACAATACAAGTACTTTTAGTCCAGCTGAATCCAACACAGGAAAAAGCATGCTTACCAAACCCATTCAGAATGCTCAGAGCCAGGAATGCATTTTTAATTAATTGAGAGAAAAATACAGAAAGAGTGGTGGTGGTTGTTTCTTCTCCTTTCATCAAGATCTGACTCTTGGATCCATACTTTCACCTCCTCCTTATGCCATACTCTGGTCTATCACCACTTCCTAATGGGACTCCCTGGTAAAATTCAAACAGCCATTTAAGAATCACTGGCCTGAGCAATCCAAATCAGTACTTCTCAAGAAAGGGTACTACTGAGGTGCTGCAATCTGCTGCAGTCAGGGATCATACAATTCAGTTTCACTGAATGTCATTCACTGAAGACATTTCAGATAATTCCAACTAGAGACCACTAAACAATCCTCACACAAAAGAGAAGAGATTATCAGATTCACTACACTATGACCTACTACATGTCAATTCTTGTGGATGTTGCAGGGCCTCATGATACTTCCTCTCCTAACGCCCTGGACCATTTTAGAATTGCATACCGACATAGCAGCAACCAATTATTGATTATTAACAACCAATCAAAGCAGGCTACTAAATGTTCAGACCTTGGGAAGTACTTCTTTTTAAATTTTGCCCTGTTTCTAGTCCATCCTAATTAATTTCACCATTCCAGTCACTTGTACCGGACTTTGGAGAATGGTGACTCTCAGGAAGCAAGAGGAAAATAGGGTGATAAGCATCCCTTTCTCCACTGAGGTCCCTTCTCTTTTCTTGGTATGTTTCAACAGTAATCAAATGACCAGGCCCGTTCAGAGCTGGTGAACAGTTTGAGAACACAAAAGACCAGTAACTGTTAAGTCAGCCTGAGCATTCACATGTAGCAAAATAGCAGAGGTACTTGACAGAGCATAAAGGCTCAAAAAGAATTCAAAATAAAGTGTAAGCATCTCCTTTAAAAAAAAACAAACAGATGTCCAATTTCTACTTACCACCAGGGCTTTTGATCTGTTGCTCAAGAGTTTTTCAATATCTCGGGCTGCAACTTCCACCAGCCGTGCTGCATTGTTAGCTTCCACAGTGTATAAACTTGGGTTCCTCAAGTATATCTACACAGGGAAAGAAAATAAGAAGGAATCAAGAGCTGTTAGGAGGCTACATGGGGATGGCCAGGTATGGCCAGAAACCAAAAGCCGTTTCCATCTGAACCTTGCTAGTATACCACACGCGAGTATACCACAGTCTTTCAGGGTAAGGTGGTGTCTCAGCTCATGTTTGGATCACAGGCTTGCCTGTATAATGATTATCTTAAATTGGAAGCAATACAGTCCAAAATTTTAAGATCGTTCTTTGGAGTACCCCAATGTGTACCTAATGCCATGCTCAGGCTAGAGGCAAGGCTGGTAACATTAGAAACATGGGCCTGGCTTCAAGCTATATGTTTCTGGCCTAAGCTAAATCCCATCCCACCCCCCAAATTAATGTCTCTACTTTTTTCAGATAAATTCCATTCAAGGTGTGTGAGAGCTGTTTGAAAAACTGGCAAAATAGTTAAATATTCAGAGATTGCAATGGATCTTTGCTTCACTGGAGAGGAGGCATTTTCTTCTATGTAAAAATCTTTATTTCTAAGGGAAGGGTTCACAGGATGCTCCCTCCCCACAAGTTTCTTTCAGGTCCCTGCTTGTATATTCTAATAGCCAACTTTACCTTGATTTGTGGATCCTTAAATCTGCTGATCAGGACCAATGGACAGAAAGGAGATTTTCCTACAAACATGGGGGAACCATTGGGTTTGCAGAAAAATCAAAATCTGGGAGAACCGGGTTTGATTCCCCACTCCTCCACTTGCACCTGCTGATGTGACCTTGGGTCAGTCACAAGCTCTGGCACAGCTGTCCTTGAAAAAGAGGAGTTTGTGTCAGAGTTCTCTCAGCCCCACCTACCTCACAGGGTGCCTGTTGTGGGGAGGGGAAGGGAAAGGAGTTTGTAAGCCGCCCTGAGACTCCAAGTGAAGGGTGGGGTATAAATCCAATCTCCTCCTCCTCCTCCTCCTCCTCCTCCTTGCCACATGGCAAACCAAATGCTAGGGAATTAGACATTGGCTGTGAGGTTTTTGTGAGCTATTTTCAGATAAAGTCTTGTAACTGCGCCGTGACCTTCCCGCCACAGTTGATACAGTAAGTAAGCTTGAGGCTCCATACACGTCTTCTAGACTGATTATGGATCACTTCGGCCTGCTCAGCCTAGAGGAGGTTGACAAGTTGCTCCTAACTGTACACCCTGCCACTTGCTGCCTTGATCCATGCCTTTCATGGCTAATTAAAGCTGGACACAAGGGGTTTTGAGGTGCCCTATGGGAGACTGTCAACAAGTCCCTCTCGGAGGGGCAGTTCCCTGGGGCACTTAAGGAAGCAGTGGTTCTCCCTCTCTTGAAAATGCCATCCCTGGACCCAGCAGAATTGGCAAACTATCAGCCGGTTTTCAACTTGTCCTACTTGGCCTTCCCAAGTCTTAAGGAGGCCAGGCTGTCGACAACCAGGGCTAGGGCTTTTTCAGTGGTGGCTCCATCCTGGTGGATTGCACTCCCAGAGGAGATCAGGGCCCTGCGGAACTTTTTACAGTTCTGCAGGGCCTGTAAAACAGAGCTCTCCCGCCAGGCTTTTGGAGCCACTGCCACCACTAACAAGTAGGATAGGAAACCCGTTGCCTTTGGAATTTGTAATAACAGCCTGTGCCAGCTGCCTGCAAGATATTTGAGGAAGATCTATGAGCCGGTTATGGGAAAAGAATTGATATGGTAGCCATCGCTGTTTTAATAACCACAATACTAGCACTTATTATGTTATTATTAACTGGTTTTAGCACTGTTTTAAATGTTTTAATGGTTTTATTGTAACCATGTGCCGATTTTATGTAAGCTGCCCTGAGCCGGCTTCAGCTGGGAGGGCAGGGTAGAAATGTGAAATATAAATTAAAAATAAAAATAAATGTGAAACGTCTTTGCCCATGCCAAGCTGGAATTGTAGAAACAATTGAGCATGTCCTCTTATATTGCTGGGTTTACCAGAACATTCGGAATACGTATCTTCCTCCAATTATGTCTAAGTATCCAGTAATTAGGCAGAAGAATACAGACTCGCTTTAACAAAAAAAAATTAGCATACATATTTTTCTATATTTTTGTTCAAAATATCCATGACACGCAACACTAAAGTGTATATGTTTTGTTGATGATCTTGACCTGATCTTGGATCATAAAATGATTGATTGATTGATTGATTGATTGAAAGAAGTGGATGGATTGTAAGACGGAGATATACCATGCTTAAATGTTAAAAGAATACTTTTTGACAGTAATTTGTGCAACAGTGGAATCAGCTGCTTAGGGAGGTGGTGAGCTCCCCCTCACTGGCCGTCTTTAAGCAGCAGCTGGACAAACACTTGTCAGGGATGCTCTAGGCTGATCCTGCACTGAGCAGGGGATTGGACTAGATCAGGGGCGGCCAAACGGTGGCTTGGGAGCTACATGTGGCTCTCTCACACATATTGTGCGGCTCGTGGCAGGGCGGCTGGGGAAGTTAAATATCATTAGCAAAAAATATCATTGGACAAATAAGTATCATTATCAATATCTGTTTTTACCGCTTTTGTTATTATTTTTGGCAGTTTCATTTAATGCTAATAAAAAGCAAATTTGCCCATTTCCCAGTAAAAACATGTAATATTTGTTCATGTCTTGCGGCTCTCAAACATCTGACATTTATTCTATGTGGCTCTTATGTTAAGAGAGTTTGGCCACCCCTGGACTAGATGGTTTGTACGGCCCCTTCCAACTCTGTGATTTTATGATTCTATGCTGTTGGTTTGGAACACCTATGCTCGAGCTCAGGACGGTGCTCCATTATGGTAAAGCTCTTACCACTAAAGCACACCAGCTCACACAGCCTAACCTCCCAACAATGGGGTCACTTTGCACAAAAAGAGTCTTCTCTCTCCAGTTTAGCCCTTGGGCTTTTCGGCCCTCCAGAGAATTCCCATGGGCCAGCTGTTGTGTATTCATAGTAATATGGTATGCATGAACTTTACTGTGAATTGCCTCATAGAAGTACAGTGTTAAGCTTCGTCCTGGGCTAGGATCCTAGTGTTACCAATAGGAGTACTAGCCCAGGAACTGACATCCAATCACCTTGCAGAGCGGGATCGCTTGTGATTGGCCCTTATCTCTCCAACCTCATAGGTTGTTATTTGTACAGAGGGTGTGGCTACATTAGCCGGGAGTGTTTAAATATGGACAAGCCAGTGTATTGATTTCGATGGGTTCTGGCTGGCGATTGTTGTACCGTGTTGGAGAAGTAACTGAGCTGAAGAATAAAAAACGCATTCTTGCTGAAATCACTCTCCGACTCTTTGTTAAGTTCAAGACCTAACACCAGCCATGGGAATTTGCTGTAGCAGATACAAAATGAAGTCTTCTGGCACCTTGAGGACTAGCAGATTTGTTGAAAAAGAAGCTTTCAGAGGCTGCCTCATGAGATACATAAGTTAAACCACATTCAGCAGACATGTACACATACAACACATGGTAGGGAGACTGAACACTGCACTAGAAAGCCATTACATGCAAGAGCTTGTGCCACTTTTATGCCAAACTAAAAAGATGTACAAAATAACACATACTAGCTAGTTCTGATAAGCTATTTAACTCCTGTAGAGCTATGAAAAGTGTCAAATCTATTTAAGCATTAGTTAATACTGTTTTGACCTGTTAAGAAATTCTAATTCAGAAATTTCTCATTAGTACTTCCCTTTGAAGCTCCTTTGTTATACCAACATACTTTCTAGTACACCCATTCTAGTATACCCATTGATTACAGAAAGATTCTTCCCCTTGCTAAATTATCTATCAGAGGGTTTATAAAACCTCTCTCAGGTTTTTCCTGCTATACACTGGGACACACATATTCTTACTATTGAGATGAACAACTAGTGATTTTTTAAAGACCATGTAGGGGTGGTATACAAACACAGCCTTATTACTTGACTAGAAATAATGCCCGTTGCGGAAATAAATACAACGAGATCTAGAAAGAGGCTCTGGGAGAGTGCTCTGGCTTTGGGCAAACAGTGTCAGTTTCCTGTAGCGACCTCAGCAGGGTTTAATGACAGAGTCCACTGTTTTCTCCAGAGGGACTGATCTCTGCTACCTGAAGAGCATTTGTATGTTTGAGTTATCTGTAGCCCTCACCTGGAGAGTGGTAACCATTGTTACCCATTCTCCTCTCCCCTATGAGGTATGATATCCAACTGAAAATTCCAACTGCCTTGTGGGGGGGGGAGTTTGAGGTGTGGTGGAATGGACTGAAGTCCAATCAGCTTCCATATGCAAAAGACCAGGTTGTCGCAGCAGTTGTGGTGTGGGCGGGACCCGGGCTTTGCCTTCTGATTGGTGGCGATATATGCTGAGGAGCAGTGCCACCAGCCATACACTAAGGGAGTGCATTTTAGAATTAGAACTTTGGCACCCACTATTCAATTATATATAATAAGGAGAGATCATATAACACAGGATGATTCACCTGGCTCATGCAAACGTCACTAAAAGCATTTGGAGATGATGAGCGATGGCTTGAGATCCCTGTCTGCCCCATTTGTTCTGCCATGGCTTTATAACTTGATAAGGAATCCTTTAGGGAAGAAAGTTATTACTGTGTTTGTCCAGTAGACCTTTGAAGGAGAATGCCAGTCAGGATGTATGAAAAGAGCAAGTTAATTAGAAATGGGATGAGCGACTAGCCACAAATGCACAAAACCAACCCCTCCATCCAAGTTAATTAAAATAAACAGGAATTGACCTTAAGAGGATGCGCTGGATAATCTATGTCTGTGGGTAGCTTAAGGCTAGATGGCTAAACAGGAGTTTATGTATCCAATAGATGGCCTGAGTTTACACACGTACAATGCCACCATGAAGCACTGCTTAGTGGGTATCACATTGTCTTAAGGGAAGTAAACCAAAGCAGCACAAATACACGCCTGGGCCCAATACTCATCCATTCTGACAGAACACAATGTCGGGTGAGGGGAAGAGATGGCTGAGATTTGGATG